ATTTCTTGTTCTCCAGGTAGGCCATCCCATCAGCAATCTGTACGGCCCACAAGTACGCCTGTGAGGGATCCACAAAGCCGATGCCACTGTCACCTAGTCTGCGCAGGTACGTAGCCAGGTCGCCGTTTTCCATCAATTCCATCAACACGAACGGACCATACTCCGAAAAGAGTTTAACAGAGTCTGATGCGGAGAAATGCTTCAACTGGCCCAACATCATGGATTCTGAGGGTGGAAAAAGAGAGGAAGGCAAATAAAAGAGCGTAATGGCATGCAGGCATAGTCGAAATTGACCAAAATAAGGGAGAACCGCCAGACAAACGGTGTTTCTTTTGGTCGGAGGGCAGTGGATGCCTTAGAAAAGGCGAGATTGGTCCGTTTCATTCTACTAAAATAACATGAAAGAACCTCGAAGACCCGTGACGAGATGTTAATGGGAAGACTGATATGTTGAGGTATGACATTTTCGTTTACTAGGGGAATCACACCAGTAGCAGTCTATAATGCCATTCACGGAAAAGGTATGTGGCGTATGGACACATAAATCTTACTAGAAAAGTACAGAATAGGCGGAAAATTAATATTTAAAGTTACTAGGTGTTCGCCGAATGCCCCGACGAAGACCAGAAAATCTGAATTGCATGAAAAGATTCCGAAAAGTTGATGATTTTTGCTAACGTTAGCTGGCAAAAAGGCGCTTTCGGTTTGGCATGCATACTTAAAAGCATAAATGCTAGATGTTTCCGAATTTCAGTAGCAAAATGGGAGAACACTGGCAAAAAGGAGGATAAGATAAAGTTGCAGAAGACCTTGACTATATTTGCCATCTAGAATTGGACTAATTTATTAATTCCATGAATCAGTAGAGACGCTTAGTTTCTGTTAAAACTGTATAGAACTAAACGTAACTACTTCGACTAACGTTTCCAGCAGAGAGAGGCTATTTATTTTCAGTAATAACGCACAACTCAATACATCTTTGTTCTCATATTCGCCTACTATTGTGAGCTCCCGTGGACACAAAAGTATGCCGCTCAGACGTATGAAAGAGGTGGCGGTGATAGCTTCCTCACTAATGCGTTGGAGTTGATACTTTCAATGCATCCGCATTCCCCCACACTCAAGTAAATTAAGTCACCATGGTAAGACCAGGTTAAAACGTTTGCAGAGTGACTTAAGCGCTAAGGGGAGGAGAGCTGCGTTAAGCTCGTTTCTCACGTAAACATCCCTTACCCAACAAGAAACAAGCTTTCCTAGTTCGGATTTCCACTTACTAATAATTAACCTACATAAGGTGCCATTATGAACTAAAACAAACAAAACTAAAATAAAACAAAACCAAAGCTGATCAAAGTGAATAATAAACTAAAATCTTGACTAAATTAAAACTAAATACCAACTATAAAAACTTGCGAAAATTCGCATTGAAAATTTCAGCAGAAAAATTAGCAAACATAGGTTTATTTAGTTGGTTTGGCAGATTTGGTTAATTTAGTTGACCCAATTGTGAAAAAACTCGCGCATTCGGCGGGATTCGAACCTCACAGGAGGGAGGCCTTTTACGCAAGCCAACGCCCTACCCACTTGAGCTACGAATGCTCGCGCTTTACGCCGTGAGTTTAATCACACTTGGATCGATATAACCCGCCCAACTTTGCCGCTCATATAGAATCCACCAATACGGGACAGCAAGCTGACTGCCCAAGCAGGATTTCTTAAGCAATCATCTAAAATCCACCATAATTACTACTAGGCTGACTTAATTATTTAGTTGGT